ATTCTTTTCAAAGATAATATCAATCAGATAACCAAAAAATGATAATTAGCCTCTAAGGTATATGACATTTACTCATTTTCGGTTTGTTAAAGGAAGTGATTTTAATCAATAGTCAAAAGGTAAGAAAGAGTCAATCAATAGATCAAGTCAATAATTATTGAACTCATTGTGAATAAACATCGATTCTACTGTGTACACAGTACCAATAATACGTTATTTGATGATTAGACTAGTGATCTGTAATCACAATATTCACCGCTCAAGTCAAGCAGACAAATGCATCATTTTATAACGATGAATTGATTTATTATTCTTAACTCAAAAAATTAATTTTTTAAGCATAAAAAGAAAGAAGCGATATAAATCAATATCAAACATTTTCTTACAAAACTGTTGTTCTATAAGTCTTCAATATGTTATAAAATATATATCTATAATAGTTCAATCTCGTTTCTTTTCAGGCAAATAAAGTTCTCATAAAGCTTCTAGCAAGTGCATCGGGATCACCATTCATCATGCGGTTCGTATTGTGATACTGAGCTCCACTGTGAAAACCATGCGGTCTTTGATATTGATGCAATCCGCTCGAACCTGATGGAGAATATCCACTGCCATTATTTAAATAAGCTTGCATTTGAGCAGCTACGTTATGATAATGATTGCCAGTCACAGGACTCATACCAGTCGGATAATAACTCATTATAATTTTTTGGTAATAATCAAATGCAAACAGAAGATGTGCTTCTTTCAACACTTCAAGTTGTGTTGTTTTTGTGATACAACATCGTATTTTATACGTACATGTACAGACAGAAGTGATTCATTAAAATCAGTCAAGCATGAAGAAGAAACAACGTAAAAAAACAATGTCTACGTCTTGATATTGCGATACCATCAATTATCAAACATAGTAATCACTATTGGAAATTTTGAAAAGCGTCAATTTTCAATATTTCGTCTAATGAGGCAAAACGAAATGAATAGTAACAAAACAGCAAGCTATTACAACGACAACAATCAGTCTACAACACACATTCATTAAAGAAATGCACCATTAGGCAAAAGTCTTTTCTCCCTTCCAAAGAAAAAGGACCTGGAGGAATAGAGGGGAGGGTGAAACACCTCTTCCTTGGGGTGCACATAAAAATGAAATAATAATAATAATAATAATAATAATGCTGACTTTTTTTTTTACTATATCAATAGGTTTTTTCAATATTTTTAAGCTCTAACATTAGTGCTCTTGGTTGACCAGCAAGGTATAATATTATTTTTGTTAAAAACTAGTTTATTTTTTATTGATTAATAACAAATTTTAATTCATCTTAGAATCCCGAAGTTGGCTTTGAAGTTCATGTGAAAATATTCGTGCAAATCTCGTACGATAGTAAGATGATGTTCGTTCGTGACATTGAAAAATGGAATGTCTTATTTGTCGAAGATCACTCTAAATAAATCTAAAAACAAAATAACAAACAGTCAATAGTTGTTTTTTATTCGAAAATAATTTACTCGAAAACGAATATTAGCAGAATCATAGATAGTAGGATTGATAACTGTATTTGATATAGTTAAAAAACAAGATGCTATATGAATGATTTTAGGCAATATTGAGTAACTATAGAGAATTTGACATTGTACTTTTGAATAACGAACTAAATTAAGATGTAATTGAAATATATTCATAGGTAACCAAATTACAGCATATAGAACAACAACAGTGATTAACATTTTTATATCCTAGATACTAAAACAAAACGTTAACAAAGATAATTATTTCATCATTAATTTATTGCATGTTTTTGTAACTTGAGATTTTCTGAAAGTATTTTGATTCATCTCATGATAACTCTTTGTTGACATCACATAAAACTGATTATCATTTATTCTTTCGATCTAAAATATAATACTAATAACTTAGTTAAATTTAACATTGATGTTAATGTTGGATAAAAATTCGAACAAAGATTGTACATTGATCAGACCTTGTGTACAACGAATATATAAATCGATATGCATAAATAACAAAAACAGAGTTTAGAATTCGTGAGTTTCTTTTACTTGTTTTTAGTGGTAAACTTTGTTCTGTTAACAGTATCTATCACAGATATGTTTTATTGATTATTATCATGACTTTCGTTAACATCTATTTATTGAAACCATATTCAGTACAAAAAACTCCTTAACATTTCTTAATCGTACTATAAACTCTCAGCTAAATAAGGAAAATTAATTTTTATTTCTTGTTAGATTACTCATATCATCAAAATTGCGTTAGTTTTGGCGATTTATCGTGATACTTGAAAAAATGTCGTCAGTTAAACATGATTAATCGACAATTTTCCAATAAACTTCAAAAGTAAGTAGTATTATACAAAAGTAAATAATTTTTTCTTCATTTTATATCATCTGATCATCTCAGTGGACAATAAACATTATTGTATGAAAAAAAATTTGCATATTTTTAAAAGACGCAAACCCTCTCACTCGGAAACTGATACAATCAGTAGATCGAGCACCTCGACCTGATCCTACGAACACCCTGATCTTTTACCAGTGACTAGACTGACCTGGAGTAAGATAGGTACTCAAAAATCAGCCTTTTAGATGCTAACCTAAGCAAAAAAATAGCAGGAATTGGTTTTCTAAATTTGAAGCCTTATAATTGAATTTCGCATATTAGTCATTCCACGTACGTCCTGACTGGATCTACTCAATAGAGCTCATCAGATTTTGTCTAATTTAAGGTATTATTGATATGGTAGCGTTTTTGTGAATTATGACGGAAGCCGTTTTGAAAAATATTGAACCTTCGATATTTTGTGGTTGCTTTGTGAAAAGTTCTAAAACTTACGTTTCGACCGAAGGGACTATCCATGCGACCATATGTCAAGAATGACTCGATTGATTGAGCTAAAAGTTTTTGTTAGCATGTATCTCTGTGTTCTTCACTTGAAAGAAAACCTTGTAGAAAAATCACGCATTTCGTCAAAAACGCATATAAAAGAGGATTTTACTGATGGAAAAGAAATGGTAAAAATATCTGAGATTTTTAGCGAACATACATCTTTATAAACTCTAGTTTCAATAAAAATGTCAGATCTCTATCTAACTCTGTTCACGAGTGATGGAGTACCAAAGCTGTCTAAAACGTGCATTTTTGCGCATATCAGATGAATCATAAAAATTAACCACTTAATGCTTTTAGGTGAAAATTGTATCCTAAATAGAACTCATAGAGATACATGCCCACAAAATTTTCAGCCCAGTTGGTCGAGTTATTCATGAGGTATGGTTCCATCAAGATTTCTGTTGGTCGAAATGTAGGACTTTAGAACTTTTCGTAAAACGTTCACAAATTATCGACGGTTCAATATTTTTCAAAACGGCTTCCATCGAAATTCATAAAACTCTACCCTCGACAACAACATCGCAAATTGATCAAAATCTAATGAATTGGATTGGATAAGTTCGAAAATGGCTTACGTGAAATGAGTAATATATGAAATTCAATTATAAGGCTTAAAACTTAGAACGTACATTCCAGCTTTTTTTCATAGGCTAGTATCTAAAGTCTAATATTTTGGATATGTAACTAATTCGAGTCAGCCTAGCCATTGATAAAAGAAATGCGTGCTCGTGAGTGTTTATTGAACAAGCTCGATATACCGACGGTGAGAACGTCTGATTTGGGGGTGTTCACATCTTTTAAAAGTATACAAAAATTTATTTTTCCTTTAATTAGATGATTTCATCATCTCAATGAAAACAGGAACGTATAGAGCGTTTCTGGATGCGAGGGAGGGGGAAAGGGGATCAATTTTTTTGTGTACATCTTTGATGGCACTTCTTTTGTACATTATCATGCTGAAAATGTCGTAATTTGTTTGTATATATTTTTTATTCATATTTGATTGTTGTTACTCTATATCATCAGGAAATTAAAAAAAGGAAATAAGTAGTAAACAAAAAGATATTAATTAAATTCATTTGTGAAACCCAATCTACATTTTGGTTTTGAAAATACGCCAATAACATTTTCGATATTTTCTTCTTGAGCGATTTTTTTATGAATATTGATAAGATTCTAGATCATTTAATTGTTCATCATCCGCACGATGGGGCAACTACTTCTAATTAACTTCAAAACAGAAAATGAGCGCTTGACATCAGCTATTGACACGGAAATAAGTTCATAGAGTTGAAATAGGAGATAAAGTCTCATATTTCGTAGAGACTTTTCAAAATTTGTGAATTTCTTTTTATAGAAGCTAGTCGAATTGAGTTTTCAGTAAGCGCAAAGCTTCAGATCAAAATTTGAAAATTCAAGTTTTTCGAAAACCTGATGTCTTACAAGAACTTCTAGAAATTAGACATACTGAAAACACGAGACCTTAGTCAAATCTCAATAAGAATCCAAAACTTTTTAGAGTTTTATTAGAACACTATGTGCTATCTATAGGCGAAACATAATAAAAATCGAAAGAAGCAGATAAAACGTTCCCTTGTCAAATTAGAACATCGTTTGAACAATTTTGTTCAATATTTCATATTCACATTTATTAAAAGAACGTATTACATGTAGGTGTGGACCTAAAAATGAGAAAAATCCAAATAACTCTTTTATTCTATCAGGTATCACGATGATTTATATCAAGTATACATGGTTTACGTCATTCATTAACAAATGTGTATTTATAAGTTGATCAATATGACACAGAGGAAATACTTTTTCCCTGTTGTGATAGGAGAAATATGGTTTGTCAACCATCGAGTGGTGTACAAGTATTTGAATGTAATCTTTTCTTTTTGTTTTATTTCTTTTGCTTGTTTGCTGAAATAAACAATTAATTCATTTATTAGTTAGTATTCTCTTTGATTCTATGTTACAATTATATGTTCTTAAGAAAATAAAAATCTAAAAATTAATAAAAACTAAATTTTTACACTCATCAATCTTATATAGACAATAAATATTCATACTATTTTAGTTGATTCTTCTATCTCATTTTCAAGAAAAATCTATCATTCAACTAAATATTTTTGTTTCTATCTTCTATTGAGTATGATAAACATATGTATTAAGTTGATTAGCCAATTGTCCAATTGTTGTATTTGGCCAAGCACGAAGACATGGAGTATTTGTTTCAAGTTTAAATGAAACAATATAACCAATATAATTTGATTGAATTGTTTCATTACATAAATATGTTGGTTTGATTAAAGTATTATCAGGTGTCCATTGAAAATAATTTTTTATTGAATTAGTTATTGAAAAAAAAATAGGTGTCCAATTAAAAACACGTACATGTTGATTAAATATATAATTTAATTGATAATCATATTGAATTGTTGATAATATATAATTTGATGATAATATTGAATATGTTGATAATGTTGAATTTGTTGGTACTGATATATGATAACAAATACCATCGAAAAGAAAAAGATCTTTACCATAACATAATTCACATGTTAATGTTTGACTTGACCAATATTGAGTATATATTAATGGACATTGACAATAATTATTAATACATATTAAACTTGAATAACATTGTTGAGTATTACTACATAATGAACCATTATTAAGACGTGACCGACAAATTTTACTATCCCAATAAGAATTTATATTACATGTACATCTTGAATATGTATTATTACATATTAAAAAGACTGAATTATCACATTGAACATTTGTTAAACAATATTCACCATATGTAGATAAATTTGAACAACCATAACCATTCCATGATTGTGATGTTGAACATTTACATATATTAGAACTAAATAATTCAAAATTTTATATTTATTTTATTGAATTAATAAATTTATTTACCTGCATATAAGACCATCAATACATTGACTTGTTAATGTACATGGTTGAGTTGCATTAAAAGAAAGTTTTGAATTACACGTTGTTTGATTATAATATGAATTTGATGAACAATCACAAGTATTTGTAGTTGCTGAACATGTTAAATATTCCATACAAAAATCAGATTGAGTATTACATGATTGACCAAATGTAAGACGTTGTTGACAATCAATACCGTTATAATACATTCCTGATGAACAATCACAAAATGAACTATTCCAATACATATTATCTAAACAAGCACATCGTTCTGTTATCGTACTGCAATAAAGACGTAATGAACGATCACATTCAATAATAGGAGATGTTGTGATTAAATCAATAGTACAACTATCGTTATACCATCTCAAATAATTAATAGTTACTGATGATTTTTGTAAAAATGCGACCATAAATATTATAAATAAAATGATTATTATAAAAATATAACTAAACCAAAAAATACGAACATCTTTTCTTGGTAGGCAACAATAATATTGAATATTTTTCCATGGTATTCGATTTCGACAAAATTGTATAAATTTTGAGTTTGATTGTGAAATAGTTTTATTTTCTATATCAACTGTCATTGTTTGTTGATTTGAGGTTTTATGATAAATTTGATTATTATGATTTTTTTCTTTCAATATATATAATGTCATAAATGAAACCATGAAAATGATATTATTTCAATTCTTTTTTCTTCATTCATTATTTTGAAAAAACAGATTGAATAATTTCATCATCGAAACCTTTCAAAATGTTCACAAAAAGAAACAAATTTCAATAAAACTTGTATAACATCAGAAGATAATGCTATTCGATTGATTCTACTTTCATCATAACAAAGGAGTTCTTCTTATGTTCATGAATGTCAAAGTCAATCCATTTGATTCCAATAAAAATTTTCTTTTCGAATGAGATCACATTATGTTTTTTTTTTCATAGAACATCTAATCACTTTTAATTTACAAGGAAAGAAGAAACTTTTCTCTATTATTGTTTTCGAACATAATTCATCTAATTTCTAGTGACAGAGACATTCTAATGATATTTAGATATAAGTTGTCCTTTGAGAAAAAATGTTGAAGATAATTGTTAGGCTGACTAGGTCATAATAAAAATAACTTTCACTGTGAAGCCGATTTTCTTTTTAATTATTATAGTTGGGATGACATTTTAAATTTAGAGAAAAATTTACCTTTTTCCAACATAATATTCATCAGATAACAAACAGCTGACACGAACAAAATCGGTAGGTCATTAATGTATATTACGATTAGTCATTTTCGGTTTGTCGAGGGAAGTGATTTTAATCTATAATGAAGAAGGAAAAACTCTCAATCAATAAGCCAACTCAATAATTTAATCATTTCATATTGTTAATATATATCGATTATATTGTGTACAAAATATAAACAATACGTTATTTCATGTTTACACCAATCTGTAATGACAATGCGTACTACTCAAGTCAAAAAGACAAATGCATTATTTTACAATGAGAAACTGTTTTATGACATGCAGAAGACATTAAAAAAATTATATTTTTAATCATAAAAATAATATAGATACATAACTAAATATTAAGTATTTCCTCTCAAAAGAGTTCTTGAATAAATCTTCAATGTCTTATTTAAAAAATTTAGTAATATTTGTATCTCCTTTGTTTGTTTAGATGAATAAGTTTCTCATAAATCTTCTAGCAAATCCACCAGCATCATTAGCAATCATAGGATTAACACCGAAATGATGAGCTCCATGATAAAAAGTTTGATGTCCTTGGTATTGATGCAATCCGTGCGAACCTGATTGAAAATGTCCACTGCCGTTATTTAAATAAGCTTGCATTTGAGCAGCTACATTATGATAATGATTGCCAGTCGCAGGACTCATACCAGTCGGATAATAGCTCATTATGGCTTATTCGCAATAATGAAGTGTAAATAGATTATGCGAGTCTTCAGACGGTTCAACTTATGTTATTCACGTGATAAAATTTGGTAATTTATAGATGCATGTAAAGATAGAAGTGACTTAATAATATCAGTCAAGCATGAAGAAAAAAAATAACGAGAAAAAAGCATGACTTTACTACCTTAAAAATTGCCATATTGTCAGTTAAACGAAGGTAGTTATTATGTATTGCACTTGATAAATATGTTCTCTTTGAATATTTTGTTTAATGAGGCAAAACCAAATGAATAGTAACAAAACAAAAAATTATTACAAGGACAACAATCATTCTACAACACTTATTCATTAATAAATACATAAATTGAAAATAATAATAATAATAATATTGAATTTTGTTACTATATCAATAAGTTTTTTCAATATTTTTAAACACTAACATTTAGTACTCTTAGTTTTTTAAGATATAATATTAATTTTTATTAAAAATTAGTTTATTTTCTATTGATTGATAACAAATTTTGATTCATTTTAGAATCTTGAGGTCGACCTTGATGTTCATGTGTAGGTGTTCGTGCAAATCTCGTACGATAATAAAATGAAGTTCGTCCTTGACAATGAAGAATACAATGTCTGATTTGTCGAATATCACTCTAAATGAATTCAAAATAAAGATTAGCAAACAATCAATAATTGTGTTTTATTCGAAAATAATTTACCCGAAAACGAATATTAGCAAAACCATAAATAATAGGATTGATAGCTGTATTTGATACAGTTAAAAAATGAGATGCTATGTAAAGAAGTTGAAGTAATGTTCCATGACTACAAAAGTTTTGATATTCTCCTCCTTGATAACAAAGTAAATTAAGACACAATTGAAATACGTTCATAGGTAACCAAAGTACAGCATATAAAACAACAACAGTAAGTAACATTTTTATACCCTAGAAATTAAAAGGAAATATTAACTAAGCTAATTATTTCATTATTAATTCATTTCATATTTTAGTAACTTGAGATTTCCTAAAAATGTTTCGCCTCGTCTCATTATAACTCAGTGTTGACATAGCATAAAACTCATTATTTATTCTTCTGACCTAAGAAGATTAATTTTGCACTAATAATTCGAACTTAACATCCACATCGATAATTGACAAAATTTAATTGAGCCAAGGATTGCACATCAATTATTTCTTGTATACAACAAATATCTCAGTTGATATGAATAATTAAGAAAAAATGGAGTTCAGAATTCACAAGCTTCTTTTTATTACTTTTTTTTTGATAAAATTTGTTGTGTTTATAGTTTATATTCATTAGAGCAATGTTTTTCTAGAATACTTATTCTTTGAAATCTTATTAATGACAAAAACTCCTTTATAATTACTTCATCAGATTATGAACTCTCAATTGACGAAGGATAATTACTTCTTATTTTCTGTTAGATTTACTAAAGAAAAGAACTAAGTAAATTCTTCGTATGATATTAGAACCAAACATATCAAAAATTTGCCAATAAATTCAAAATATAACTAATAAATGTCTATTTATTCTTTTTATCGAAATTTGTACACGTTAAAAATACATCAATGATTCAATTATAGAAAAACTCTCGTGACAACTCTCTCTGGGGACAAATTTATTCTGTAAATTTTTAGAAATAATCACCGTACATAAAAGATAAATGAAGACATTGGAGATTTTATTTTCACGATGAATATTTCTAGTAATAAATCAAGTCACATTTTGCATTTTGAATCAAAAGTATCAATTGTAAAAAGAGTCATTATTTATATAAAATGAGCGGGAGCAAAATGATATACTCATATAACTTATAGAACTAAATTTTCTTCTACCTCACTGATAATTTGAATATATAAATTAAGTTCTTATTTATCATCTATTTTCGGCAGTAATCTGACTAACCGGATATGACAAATGAAAAGAAAATAAAGATTATATGTTGTAAAACAGTGAAGAAACAATTTGTAAATTGCGTTGATAGCAAACATTAAGACTCCTTTTTTTTGAAAACGGAAGCAGATGTTTGACATTTCGGCAAATGCGCTGTGAAGTGAAAAAAAGACAATTTGAGCTTTACTACGCAACATTTTTTGACATCAACAAATAAGAGTATGTTTTGGTAAGATAAGAAGGTTATACTACCTTTTTGATCTAGGTGTCATCTCTACTCTTATATAACACTGTGTTCATCATGTTTCTATACATTATGTCACATTCAATACATGTTCCCTGCATAGTTTTAGTGTTAATTAATATTTATTAGAAGAAATAACGAGACAACTATTTATAAAACACTAGTTCTGTGTCGAGTGATATAAGTTATTTTTGAACATATCATATTGTTTTATTTATTGAAATTTTACAAAGATAGAAAAAAACAGAATACTTAATAATTAGGTCAAATAAACCTGAAATAAATATTATTGCGTCATCAAATGATCAAATAAAAAAGTGTCTATAATGTTTTTCTTTCCGTTCCTCCAGTTAAAATAGATCAAAGTTTTTTTCAATTGTCAGCGTGACCAGGTGGATAGAACGTTAAAAGCACGATAAAGTCATTAAGCAAGAATTATAATTTAAGAGATAAAATCTCAAAAGAAAACATAAACATATACTTTACCTTTCAGCTATGTTTCTTACTCTATCCTATTTTCCATTGTTCATCTGAAGGAAATTAAATGCCACATGACAAGTTCATCTGACTTGAGTGAATTATTAAGATAATATTTTTTCATTTCGAGATTTATACAGAACTACCTAGAAAAAATGTAGTAGAACATTTGTAGTGCGCAATAATTATAAACTTTAAACTCAAGACCATTCATATATACAATATAGATATCTTAAAATCTAAACATAATTATTATTTTTATTCTGTGTATTTCCGGTTCATTGTCCTTACTTGAACTTAAAAAGCAATCTTAAGATGATTATTGTCTAAACAGAACTCTTAAATACTATATACTTATAAAACTGATGTTAATTTCACTCATCCAAATTTTCTTAACAAAAAAGAAACAAATGTTTACTTGTTTTAATTTCTTTTTAAATTGTATGCTTTCATGAGTAAATAAATTATTTATTACTGTTGTTGTACCATTAATATCATTATTTCCGTCATTAGAACGCCTCCATAACATAGCTGCTATACGTAAATAAACAAAAGCAAGAATAGATAATGGAAAAAAATATGTTTGTAAAAAGTTTAATATTGTTCGTCGAACTTCAGCTGGTCGTTCAGTTTTATTTGGTACACATTGAATTGTATCAACAAGTTGATAATGTAAATTCTTTAATAAATAATCTGATTTTAATGTATCTGTTATATTATCAATTGAACCAATATATCTTTTTAATAATGAACGAGAATTTACCCATAGACGTTGTTCTTGCATCGGCAATGATCTTGCTGGTAACCATAACATAGCTAAAGCAATACTTAATATCCATATAATTAATAATGCTATTAAATTTCTTTTATGTACAGAATAGATTTTAATTGCTAATGGGTATTTGACAGNCATGAGTAAATAAATTATTTATTATTGTTGTTGTACCATTAACATCATTATTTCCGTCATTAGAACGCCTCCATAACATAGCTGCTATACGTAAATAAACAAAAGCAAGAATGGATAATGGAAAAAAATATGTTTGTAAAAAGTTTAATATTGTTCGTCGAACTTCAGCTGGTCGTTCAGTTTTATTTGGTACACATTGAATTGTATCAACAAGTTGATAGTGTAAATTTTTTAATAAATAATCTGATTTTAATGTATCTGTTATATTATCAATTGAACCAATATATCTTTTTAATAATGAACGAGAATTTACCCATAAACGTTGTTCTTGCATCGGTAATGATCTTGCTGGTAACCATAACATAGCTAAAGCAATACTTAATATCCATATAATTAATAATGCTATTAAATTTCTTTTATGCACAGAATAGATTTTAATTGCTAATGGATATTTGACAGCACAATAGCGATCAATGGCTATTGCTATTAATGTTAATAAAACACCTGACACAGAAAATGTTTTAAAAACATCAAGTACAATACATAATTCACGTGCGTATAACCAACGTTGAAATAAAAGTGAAGTTATTGTAAATGGTATACAATAAACAGTCATTATTATATTAAATACAGATAAATTGAGCAAAAATGGTGATAGTTCAGAACGTGAACGACGACCAAATGTAAATATAATTATTGCAATAAAATTCGTAAAAAAAGAAAATATTATCATAACACCATAAATAAGTAATATGATAACTTCATATGTGTACAAATCCGATAATGAAAGATATGTTATCGGATAATGTAAATAAAGATCAATCAAAGATTGTACTTCTTTTTCAACCATATTGAATCTTATTCTTCAAAATAAATTTAATCTAGAAAAACAACATACTTATGAAAGATGTTGAGCAAAATCTCGAACAAACTATATTCACATTCTTTTATTTTTGTTTTTTTCTTCTCTTCTTTTTCTTTTCTTCATTTCTCGATTTTTTCTATCTTTTCTTTTTCTCAAATGCAGATTCTAGCGCTCATGCTATCTCATAATAAAATTTGGGATAATAAGTCATGACAAGTCAATGTAATGTATAATAAAGCTTACTGAAGGGTATTTATCTATCTCGGAAAGTTTCTTCTTTGAAAACATATGCAGATTGAAATAGAATATCAGATTTAGAAAACAAATTTATCAATAAAATTGCTAAGAAAAAAAATGAAAGACTTTTTTTCTGAAAATATTATTCAAGTAGTCAACAAAATGAATTAAATTACCTTCATCTTATAAATGAATCGATTACTTAAATTCGGATGATTCATAAAAATCATAAATGTAATAATTATCTGTTTCTTCTCTCTTTTTTTTTTGAAGAAGCTACTTATTTTTCTAGAAATGTTATACTCAATTTTATTTGTTCTGTTTATGTTGGCATTAAATTTTTATCTTCTTAAATATAGAGGTGAGAAAGCAACGTTCTAAAAGCATATCTATAATGGCCAACATTATCTTGTTCATTATGAGTGTCTTCTTCCGTTATATTCCCTAGTCGATATGATGTTTTGTGCATCTTTCCTATCTCTCAGATTGTAACAACAACAACAAAATATGGTTGGATAGATAGAGAATAGTTTGTCTATGGAGAAAAATGCTTTATATATTCTCATAAAAGCATTAATGAATACTCAGGTATTCTTATTGAAACTTAATAAATCAATGCAATATTGTTTTTCATATTGGGTACTTTCGTCATAGGAGAAGAAATTAGATATATCATTTTTTTTTTTAGAAATATTAATTAGAAAATTAAGTATGCACATAGAAATATTTCTTTTGGGAATTTTATGTTATTTGTAAATGTCTTTATGAAACTAGTGAAGACAATGTCACTATTTTATGTATACCTATTGCATGATAACAAATTTTGTTTCCAAGAAGTAAAAATCAATGTCTATTGTTAACCGGTCAGNATACTAATATGCAATTTGATGTTATACTCAAATCAAATAACACTATTTCATCCATTCAAGGTCTTATTGTACAATGAGGATATTAAAACAAAAAAGATTTTGTAAAATTTTAGCATTACAGTTCTATTAGACAAAAATGCTTATTACTATTAAAACATGACAATAAAGTCATTAAATAATAGACAAAATGACCTAGTAAACTGTATAACGTTAAAGAAAATGTGTGAACATTCATGTGAGTCCTATACTTAATCTCTCATTGCATGGCAAGCATAATTACATGCTAAAAGTTAGATTAAACTTACGCGCAATATATGTGAAAGATCGCATACATAGAAGAATAGAACTCATATTCGAAATTTACTCTGTGATTGTCGCAAAGCCATTGCTGATTTATAAAAGAATAACACTCAACATTGTTGAATATAATGAAGTTCCCATCATGAACTATATATTATAACTGGATGAATACGATAATACGAATTTATTCTATCAAGAAATGCGTAGGGCCATCTTGCAGGAAAACTCAATAATTTACGTATCACTGCATGATTGTTTGATTAAAGCCTTGCATATATAATTTACATACATCACTAGATATTGACAAGATTCTAACTATCATTTGTCTAACATACAGTTAATAATTTTGTACTCACTTCTATAGTTATTGTTTCCGGGACATGTTCAAAATTTTTCACATAATCAAGCTTGTTTGATTGAAAAACTTACAAAATTGAAGTTCTTCTCGCACAAATTCCAATATTCCCGCTCATTTATATGTAATATTATTCTAAATATAGATATATATATAGAAACAGCATGTAAAAAATTCTATCGTGATGTATGTTATACAATAACTTGAAAATTTCTATAAGACCAACGTTATGTCTCGATAAAGTTCCTGTCTATAGTCGATCTCTTTCATTTTTACTTCAATTTCTAAATAAAACCCAATTTCATATACTTACATTACCGATGATTACTTGGAATACAATAATATTACACTGTAGAAAAGTAAGAAACAATCTTATGAATTATTTAGTGAGTTACACATAGTACAGTTCGAATAAAGTTTTTTTGTTACTTCCTCTGAGACACAAAAATTAATTAGATATAAAGAAAAAAAGGTCGCTTCATGTGATGCCTGAAAGCTCTGACTTTTATCACTTCCCCGTAAATGACTTTTATTTTAGTAAATACTCAGATACAATATGCCTTGTCCAGGTCGGCTGAACGCTACTAGTGAATGAAAACTTCTTTTATTATTTTTTCTTTGTAAAATCTTAAAAATACAAAAAATATTATGTTTAATAGTCTGAAAATTTCTTATTCTTTTCATTTAGTTTAAGTGTGTGCACATATTGAATGAATCTAATATATATTCAAGTTTCTAAAAACAGAATGAAAATAATTAAATAGCTTTTTTCAACATATCGATAATTATAGAATAATATAAATCAACAATTTTTTAAAAATTGGAGATCTAAACATGCTCATTAGAATACTTATTTCAAGTGGCAAAAGAGAAATTTAGATTGATCAAAATACTTTATGTATTTTACATTACGTTAGTTGTTCGGTTTAGAATTACCAGAAGTAACATTTGATAAATTAGAATAACTAAAATAAAAAGTAAAACAAACAAAGCATTTTTAGTGTTGTATCTTCGACTTCACAAGTTTACTTGTCATTAGAATATAGAATGTTCAAAAGTACTACTAAATCAAAGTTTAATGTTATAATCATTCTGCGCTTCGATTTAGTATTTTCTAGAAAAATTCATCAAGTTTGTAGCTATAAAAAAATGTTGATATTTCAACACAGATATAAATAAAAAAAAAACCATCTCTTATTGTCAATAGAAAATTTCAATCATGTCAGAGTTGCATATTTGATTTGTTTAGAAAAAAAGAAGAATTGTTTAATTAATCATTGAAAAAATCAAAATTTTTAATAATCTTCAGTGAGTTTCGCATTATATAACTAATATATTACCTACACCATTAGTAATTGATTTATTAGCTACAGCATTTGTTACATTCGACAATTTCTCAAATACTCGATATGACTTCAAGCTAAATAATTACTAATCATATTTCTTCAGAAATGATTTGGTAAAAAAATAACCATACAGTAAATATATTATATTACTCAAGGGAAAAAGCATCTCACGGTAATTCTGAAATATATGAGAATATAGAAATGTCACAAATACGCGAAAGAACTGATAAGTATAAAAAAAGTACCAAGATATACCAAGGAATGCACAGAAAGGTCATACATTTTCTAAAAAAATAAAAATGTTTATTATAAAAAAGAAAACTTAGAAAAACAAATTTACAGAAGTACACAGATATATAAAGAAGTATGAGGAACGACGAAGAACTATATTACGGTATAGGAGGTTCTGAAGTGTTAGAAAGTACAAAAAAATATGAGAAACTATACGGAGGCGTCACCAAGTACAAGAAATGTAAAGTATGCCTTTTTGAGCTTTATATTTCTACTATGAAAAAATATTCTTCTAGTCTCTACTCCATCTATCAGTTGATGAAGATGTTGAGGCGTTGATACACGTTTCTGATGGATCAATAAAATAGAAAATTTTTTGTTTTCCACTAAATTCTCAAACTTTCAATGAATCTTTCTAGATAGAATTAAGAAATTTGATACATTAGATATCTCATTTCTATGCTCTTGATACTTATTCGAATTAATATAGAAGATAAGATTTAAACATAACTACTCATGACTCATTTCTGCTTAGTATCTAAACTAATTTGAATTAGTATTTTACTACGAAAATCATCTTTTCAATTCATACACAAGAATAATCGCATGATTTTGTTTAATTCTTTTCTTGATTTTGAAAAGGTTATGCACAACATTCTGAAAATAATCTGAATTAACTGACGTGAAAAGAATTTGTTTAATGAATAAGACATTTAACAGTACATAATTTACCGTAATAAATAGAAAAAATAATCTTCTTTTCTCAACGACTCAAAAAATCTCATTTTATTTTATTTTCATCGAGCACAAGAATGAGTTCGTATTCATCAATTCAGTCGGTCAATGATAAGTATATCCGTAAAGATCATAAAAAAAATATGACGAACAAATAGATCTACGTGAAAGAATTTTTGTTTCGATAGATTTCTATTCATTGAGTAGATGAATTTCGAATAGAGAGCATAAAAAAACATATATCTATGTCAACTATCTGTCGTATTTGTTGTTCTCATTAAAACAGCGAAGCCACACAAGAATGCATTTCAGCCTCTTTTAATTTTCAAATTTCAAACTAATTGGATTAGATATAGAATGAAAGACCATGAGCTCCTGTTTATTTTCATGCTGAAATCAAGATATTTTCATTCGACGGTAAGCTTAAACAGATTTATCTTCACAGCATACTAAATGGGCAGCTAGTTTTTGATACCAGTCAGCAATATGAGCATTTATCTGAAAGAAAATAATTAAATATGAAAAGTTTTTCGGGTGCTTTTGTGTTCAAGTTACATTTTCATAATAGAACCGTTTATTTAAAGTAATGTTTTGAATCTACTATTCGATCTTTCATTGCTTGCATTTAGAATTCGAAATATCCGTATATATTTCATTTGTTCGTTCAATTATTGTATTAATGAAATTTTCTCTCCAATTAATTCACTTCCTATTTTGATAGAACTTTCCCAACACTGCAAAACACTACATCGTATGGTCTAAAAAAGAAGTCATATAACAAAATTCCTAGTCCATTATTCTTGCAGCGCAAATTTTAACTTCTACGACTGTTATTTAAGAATTTTCAAGCAAATATCATAGTTGAAGTCGACACAAAAAATGGAGCCGAATTATGTGAGCTTCAAAGTTTTT